TATATATATGCACTATTAACTAAGTCATCAAAAGCCATGACTATTCATCAAACAGAAGAAGAGTAAGAAAAAAAACGCTATCAGGATAGTGATGTCTCAGAGCTTTCCAAAAGCTGCCTTAGCTCTATCTTATTATACACTAAAACCCATCTACCACTATACATAACATAACAGTATACACAGATTCGAAAGATTCCTTTGTACGTTATACTCTCCCGAATGAACCAAACACTCATTCTTCCACAGCTATAATCCTTAAATTGGTTAAATTTGGGATGTGTTTTTAAAAATGCATGGAACCACAAAGTGCACCCAGCAATATAATTCCATTGAACCCAAAAAAAAAATTGTTGATTTGGGATGTGTTGAAAATATATATGTGGATTTGCTGATGCTTCCTAATTTGATACTCTTAACTTCTTCATTTTTTTTTTGTTTCTTTTCTATTTGGTTTGATTTGATTCAATTACTAAATATCAATCCAAAATACTTCTTACACTCTTAATTAGATGATCTACTTCGCTATTTGTTTGAAACCCCTCAGCTTTCAAAGGTTGCTTTCAAAATTAGCTTTTTGCTTTATTCATGTTACTGCACGCACATAGACATCTTTACCGTATCTTTTGGCCTTTCAGGTTACTGCACACACATGTGTTTATGAATTTACCAATAGTGACAAAAAACTTCACTGCATTATATTATTATATATTTTTAGACGATAATAAGGCAAAAAAGAACAAAAACATTAGGGCTGAAAATGAAAGCATCTATATATATATACGACCCACTAGATGGGGGAACCATGTTGTCAGTTTTTTACCTTTTTTATGAAGTTCTCGGACCATTGCACTTATTTTTAGCTTGACTTTGAGTCTTCGACCATTGATACCCACACCTATATTAATTACATGATACTATACAAATCTTCATCCAAAATTTTATCAGTGTTGGGTCAATTTTTCCTTTCACCTACATTTATACTTCCATGTCTTTGAAACTCATTCAACTATAAGGTGGTGATTAAAACTATTACAACCAATTAGTAAATTTATGCAATTGCTAATGATTGCAAGTTTTTAATTAGCTATCAGTAAATAAGTGCCTTTGGAATTTTATTCCAAACGTGTACACATGCATGATTTCCAAATAATACTGGCGCTGGTTCCTATCAATAGTATAAGAAAAACTTGTCTTAACTATTCAATAACACGCTTGCATTTCTAAATTCGAGCAACGTCCACAATACACCCTAACTTGTAAGAGAAGAAGACCGACTTAAAAACAACAAACAAAAACTAAGTTTTGACCGTAAGATTCAACAAGTATACCGACATACGTAAATGCTAGGGAACGGAGTTGATTAACGATGACAAGCAAGTGAGACAAAATGTCACACTGTATTCTCTTTCTCTTTCACTATGCCTATCTATTTCTAACTCTATCTCTTTATATATCTATGCTCATCTCTTGTTTACTGCATGCTCTCCCACTTTGTTTTAACCTGCAGAAAACATAGTGTATTGCGAAGAAAAAACTTCTTGGTCACGCCTCTAGCGCTCGATCGTATGTTCCAACTTCCAAGTTCCAACAAAACTCTAATATCTATATGTAGTTTTTTCCGTCACGGTGGAGTTTGTTCATTTTTAACCAGCTTCTGATCTCGTTGTCTTCTTGTTAAATAAAATTAAGGAAATGGAATGGTCAATGACGAACAACGTACAAAACAAGAGAGCTGATTCCTTGCCACAGCCACAGCCATGGCTAGAGTCTAACTACTCTAACTCGCTATGCAGCGTCAACTATAATCCTTACGCAGGTATGTGCACACATATATTAATTTTACCACACCAATTTAGGTACGTAGATTCTTTCGTTTTTTTTTTTGTTTTTTTTTAATCAACCCCATAGTCTTAGCTCTCTGTAGATTTATTGCAATGGGGTAAGGGTTTTTTTATCCACATTCACCAAAATGTAGGTATATGTTATAAGAATCACAAATTTTAGAATTCTGTAAGTGCATTCCAAAACCATTCCTAAGGAGAAAAAAAAGCACGTCTAATTTTTCTGGTATATAATTTATGTGAGGAATTACATTCCAAAGGGGCATTCCAAAAACCTTTTGATATGTAATCTAAAAATATTAATTCTTTGGAGAGAAATTTACAGAGCGGAAATTTGGCAAAATCTGGATGAGTATCGGAATTACTAATAAGAGAAACGATTTGCTGAATTTGTTGACTAACTGATAAAAATTGTGTAGAATAAGCAGGTAATAAATTTAAACATGATAATTGCCAAAACAGACTAATAAATGAAGATCTTACGAAAAAGTTGATTCATAAAAGTAACCATCCATATTAAAATAAGAATTATGCCCGACTCCACCATTACCATTTAAAAATTTAAAGAAAATAATAACTTTTGCCAAATATGAAGAATATGTTTTGTTTTATAAAGGAATAAAAACCTGTTTTAAACAAAAAAAAAAAAAAAAAGTTTGTTTTGATGATGATCTGCATGTCTGGAACAGGAATAAATTTACATATGAAAGCAGTAATTTTCTGCAGTTCAGTAAATTTCCAATAAAGAAAAATGTGTCACTATTTACTTTCAGCCAAATTAGCAATTCCTTTTCGTCTTTTTTAGTGTCACATTTTCTTCTAGTGATCAGTGTGTACGTTTTGTCGTTTTGTTTCGGTTATTATTAATTTTGAATATATGCTCTACAACAAAACAGGAAATTCATCTTGTAATAAGCCTGCATACACGCAAACCGGACCGGTTATATCTATACCGGAATCAGAAAAGATCATCTTTAAAGCGTACCAGTGTGATCCGGGTAACAACAACGAGATGATAAGAAAGAACAAGAGGCTAGCGAGTGAACAACTAGCTTCCCTTGAACTACGTTTTCAAGAAGATTTCAGGTTAGATACAGAGAGGAAGTTTAAGCTAGCGGAGGAGCTTGGTCTGGAGCCACGTCAGGTCGCAGTTTGGTTCCAGAACCGCCGTGCACGCTGGAAGGTGAAGCATCTCGAAGAGTCATACGACTCGCTTAGGCAAGAGTACGATGCTGTTTGGAGAGAGAAGCAGATGCTACACGATGAGGTCTAGCTAGGCACTATTCATATATATATATGGAGTCTTATTTGTCAATATAATCTTTGCTTGCTTCAAAGATCAGACCCGTCACAACAAATTGACATGTGATGCAGGTGACTAGGCTGAGAGCTATAATACTAAGAGATCAGGGTTTGATGATGAACAACAATCAAATCGCTGGAGGAGATAATACTGATCATAACGATATTGGTGAATACAATAGTCCCATGATGGTTGATTTTTCTTTGTTGGCCAGCACAGCTTTACCCGTGGTAACTTGTTGCTGCTCCGATCTTGCAGAGATAGAATCTTAGTTTTATAAACGTTAAGAACTTGTACGATTTTTAACATATTATGAACGTCCTATCAAACGAACGAGTTCCACGCTTACTATGATCAGATTAAAATCCCTAGAACATATTATATAATACACATAATGGCATTGGCATTTGCAGAGGCAGAGTGTTATGTAATTGAACGACGTGACATCTACAATTAATGGGGTGAGGTTTTGGGCCTCCTATTTTGGGTTGTATAGATGAGATTTAAAAAGTTTTTTTTTTTTTTAAGTTAAACATATAAAAAGCAATGTGTTATCATGCTCTTTACTTATTAGCATTATCAAATCCAAAAACAAAAACAAAAACAAAAACAAAAACAAACAAACTCTAGTTAGTATACATTTTTTACAAAACCAATCCCCGTACTTTTTGACTACTTTCACTACACAACCTAAACAAAATAAAACGACAAACCAACCCAAAATGTAATTGTTTTGTCTTTCCAGAACCAGTAAAAAATTATTACCTTATTTTCTCGTACAGAATAATATCTTCGATTTCCCTGGTAATTAAAATTTTTCTATTACTTTACTGCGCAGAAGGGTAAAAGTAACAAAATTTAGAGAGTTAATTAATTATAAATATCTGAATAGTTACAGAAAACAATAATAACGGATGGATTCTCCTCATTCCTGGATATCTGAGTTTTTTTTCCTTCTGTCTTCCTTTTTTTTGTCTAATGCATGCATCAGACTCTGTTTAAAGTTCTTTTGAATGTATTCAATTTATTTAAATGTTTCTCTAGCCTATCATACAAAAATGTTGTTATTTTGTCGTTTCTCAGACTCTTCTTATTAACTAGTTAACCATGATTAATTTCAACTATTACCTTCTGGTTCTAAACTTAATTTCTCATTATATATATGAAAAGATCATAGAAAATTAAACAAAAAAAAAATATCTAATTGTTTTTGAAGACAATGCACGTGAGTACGCATTTTAGATAACAGTACTCATCATACTATAAATTTCAATAGGAGGATGTCGATCGTTGTCTTATATATCAATCAACTGCACACAACACAAATAATCTTGTCTTATAATGTATTTGTATCGATTCGCTAGCTGATGCTTAATAATTGCAACTCCTTTGATACTTAGCTTTCAAACTTCTTTGTTTTTTTTTTTTTTTTTTTTTTTTTTTTTTTTTTTTGGTTTTGGTTTGATTTAGTAACTAAAATTATTCAAAAGTTCTTTCTTTGTTGCTTTTTTCGGTTACACATTCTTAACTCTTTATATAGATGATCGACTTGGCTATTTGTGCTGATTTCCTAGCTTTCAAAGGTTGCTTTCAGAGTTAGCTTTATGCTTTTTTCATGTTACTGCACATATACATATATTTACCATAGATTTTGGCCCTCTCAGTTTACTGCACATTTATGTTTATGGACTTACCAATAGTGACAAATCTTATTGCATTATTATATAAAACCTTGTGAATTTTGGATGGTGCGTGTATATTAGACAAAACAAGAAGAAAAATATCTTAGGGTAAAAAAAACATGGAGGCAGATTTATATCATACCCTAAGGAGGGGTGAACCATGTCTTCAGTTTTTTTCTATGGAGTTTTCTTAGGGGACCATTTCACTTATTTTAAGCTTGACTTTGACCATCGATACCTGAACCTCTATATATATATATATATCGACTACATAAAATGACAAATATAAATCATCTAAAATTTCAACCAAAAAAAATATATAATTCAACTACATTTATATTTCTATATCTTAAGAAATTTAGTAAGCTATAAGGTGGTGAATGAAATGTTAAAGTCCACAGCTGGTAGATATATAGATTTATGTAAATGCTTAAAGATTTCAAGTTTAGTATAGTTCCAGTATAATTATTCCACTGAGATTTATGTTTTAATTACGATCTTTTTTTTTTTTTGTCATCGACAGTACAAAATCAGCTCAAATGAGCCAATGTGGAAAACATTTGTTTACAAACTTAACAAGAGACGGCATGGTGCGAACATTTCGATCTTATGATACTTTCTTTAAGAAATGGTGCATTATACAGAATTTGCCAGTCCATTAATTTATTTTTATTAAGTCTTTTTATGTAAATTTTATATGTATATGGCTTTGGAATCACAAGTTTCGTAAGAATTTTGATTCAAATAGTTTCCAAATAATACGAAACCGTCTTGGTTGGCTCAAACTTGTAAGGTGCTGTTCGTTTCTTCATCCAGCAGATTCATCTAGGTGGAGATGAAAACTGATGTTCGTTTAAGCCAATTTTTCGGAACAGTTAGATGGTGCAGTTAAATGAGTTTTATAAAACTCATCCAAAAAAGGCTAAAAATTCGGCTGAGCCGAGACGGAGCAGCTGGCTTGAGCCGGTTCAGCCAATATCGCAAAAACCCTAAAATACCCTTGTATAATTAATCATATTGCCTTTTCTTCTTCTAGCCTCCAGAGAACAACAACGAAGAATAGGGTTTTCCTTAGACTCTCTCCTCTTTCAAGCTCTCGCCGGATCAAGCTCTCGTCGGAGCAATCTCTCGCGGCGCCGGATCAATCCCTCACCGGATCGATCTCTTACCGGAGTATAGGTTTACAAACCCCCTTCTCTCTCTCTCTCCATCCCTATCTCTCTGTCTCTCTTGCTTTCTCTCTTTATCTCTCTGGTTTCTCTCGCTCCCTCTCTTTATCTTGCAGTAAGAAGAAGGATTTGTTCTTGGGTTTACTCTAAAATGGTTATTTTGAAGTAATAAGTTGTAGATATTAGTTGGTTTTGATTCATTTGAAAACGAGATTAGAAAACTAGTTTAGAACTAGTCTCAAGCTTCTCTCCGTTGTTATGTTTGATTCATTTTTGATTCATTTGAAAACTAGTCTCAAGCTTCTCTCTGTTGTTATGTTTATGTCAAAATGTGAAACAATGTTGTATTTAAGTCTTGTGATGATGATGGTTTGTGATTACTCGTATGCTTGTGATGATTATGTTACTCGTATATGCTTGTGATGATGGCTTGCTGGTCATGTCCTTGTGTTTTTGGCTAGTTTCTGCTTCATGTTTATAGCTTCTGGTTGGATTAGTTAGTTGGTATTATTCTGTTTTTGTGTTTCGTTGCCGTTTATGGGCTGTTCCTTTGTGTTCATGTTTAACACGATGGTGTCTTTGTCAAAGACAGCCATGATTGTATATGA